ATAGCCCAGAAGCATAAGCACCTACCTAGGAAGTGCAAGGTCCTGAGTTCCATCCCTAGTCCCCCAAATTTTTTTTAATTAATAATAATAGAAGAGAGATTTGTTTTGACCCACAGTTTGTAGAAGTTTCAGTTGATAGCCAGCACCAAGGCAGGATAGCATGGCAGAGGGGGATAGCAGCAGAGATCAAATAGCATGGTAGACAGGAAGCAGGAGCCAGCCAAGAAAGAAAATAAATCTTTCCAGGCCATACCCCTAGTGACCTTGCTCTTCAACCCAGATTCCACCTCCTAATAGCAGGTTCTTTATAAACCTGTATAGTCCAGTCAGATTCCAAAGGTCCCACCTATGGTTGCGATGAGGCTTTAAGGGAATATCTGGTTACTTGTTTTCTATATACATCTCTCTATATGTGGCTATTCCATCGTGAATGTATATGGGAAACAAATTCTGACTTTGAGACTTGTTAACGTCTATAATTGTCTTTAGGAACTCTATGAAGAAAGATTTCTAAGATTGTATCATAATTTTTTTAAAATGTGCGTGTCCATTTTTTTAATTCATGAAAAAGAACGTCTTTTTTATTTCTAAGGGCATTGTCTGTAGATAGATTTGATATTATTGAATCCAGTTGTAGAAAGTCATATTATACTCCTCTAAGCAATCGTACAAGGTCAGTGGTCCTGATTGAAATGCATAGACTTCCTTAAATAAAATCATTGGAGTAATTATTAAAATTCGAAGCAGGGTGTGGTGCCACACCTGTAATCCTGGTGCTCTGATAGGCTGAGGCAGAAAAATTACAAGTTTGATCCCAGTCTGTGCTGCTCAGCAGTTTTAGAAAGACCCTGTCTCAAAAAGCAGGCAAGGGGAGATATATTCAGGACAAGGACCTTGAGATCAGTCTCTAGTACCACCAAAACAGCCAGTGTCAGAAGATACCAGTGTTTGGGGGCCTGGCCCTAGCTCAGTTCTTTAAGTGGCTGCTTCCACAAAGCTCTCAGCCTCAGCTTGCTGTAGTTCAATCCCCACAACACTCCAGCCAGCCAAACCTGCCCTGAAGGCATTCGGAGCAAAAAAAAAATCCTTATTCCATTTTTGGCTGGGGAGACGGCTCAGTGGAACAAGCACTTCCTGCGCAAGCGCAGGGGCCCGAGTTCAATCCCCGGTTCTGCCAAAAAAAAAAAAAAAAAAGATACCAGTGTTAGATCTCTTACAAGTAGTTTGATTTGCAATTAGATAGGTTAATTGTTCCTATATTTGAATATGTTTAGTGAGAGATTAGGATAGTGTGTGTAGGGTTTGAA